GGAAAACTGACTGTAAGTGTTGAAACAGTGGGGTCATCCTCACCTTTGGATTGCGCGTCTGACTCGAAATTGGGTTGGCGCGAAAACGCATCAGCGACGACATTGAGTCGTCCTGGCTTATACTCCACGGAGAAGTTGTACTCCGCGAAGAAGGACAGCCACCTCGCCATGCGCTGTGAGATGTGTGGGCTGTTTACGGCCGTACATAATGACGCATGGTCCGCATATACAATGAACGGTCTATCTCCCAAAAGATAGACGCGGAACTTAGCCAGTCCATATTTCATGGCAAGGAGTACCTTTTCATGCACTAGATAATTACGCTCAGCTGCTTGCAGCTTACGGTATTGATAGCAGATGACGCGCTTCGCGCCATCTGCGTCAAATTGCATCAACGCACAGCCGATCGCAAAATCGCTGGCGTCACAGACCACATGTAATAGTCTGTTTTGATCTGCAATCGCCAATACTGGCGATTGCATCAAGCTCTTCTTGATACCCTCAAAGGAACGCTTGCACTCAGCGTTCCATGACCACTTCACATTTTTCTTGAGTAACCAAGAAAGATGCACAGTTATATCGTCGTAGTTGCGCGAGTACTTGTGCAAGTATGCCGCTAGCCCAAGGAACTTCCTTATCCCCTTGACATCGACTGGAATTGGCCAGTCGGTGATCGCCTTGATCTTTTCGAAGTCAGGGCGTACGCCGTGTTTACCCACGATGCAACCAAGAAGTGGTATTTCGCTAGCCACGAAGATACACTTCTTAAGATTGGCATACAACTTATGCTTGCGCATCAGTTTAAGAACCTGACGAGCGTGAGCTCTATGAACTTAAACGTCCGTCTTCCCGTCCATATCCCGACTATGGACGAATACATCGTCGAGGTAGCTCGGTGCTAAATCCCGCACTGGTCTCAACAGATTTGTTACACATCTGTTGAATGTTGCAGGGGCATTGCTCAGCCCCTGTGGCATCACTAGCCACTCCCACAGCATACCGCTGGGGTTACTCACTGCCGTGAATGGGATATCCCGCTCACGCATTAGGATCTGATAGAATGCATCAAGCGGATCCATGGACGAGAAGATGGTACTCTTTGACATACCATCTATGATTACGTCCTTCCTCGGTATCGGCGTCTGAGCCGGTACCGTTGCAGCATCCAATTTGTCGAATGCGTGCACTATCCGCCACCCTCCTATATCTTTTCGCACACAGAAGGTCGGAGAGCTGTGAGGGGAAGTTGATTCCCTCACATGGCCCGCAGCAAAGCGATCGGCAAAGAACTTGTCGATCGCTAGTTTTTTGTTCACGAGGCAGTGGCCACTGCTTCATGACACAGTACTTCGAGCCCGGTTTGAGCTCGGTCTCGTGTCGAGTTCCTTTGTCCTTAGGCAGCTCGCATGGTACGGATTTAGGGAATACATCCTTGAATTCGATCAAATCCTTATACAAAGGATTTGCCTAAAGTGACTCCCTGGATTGAGACGTGTAACGCTCAATCCGAGTCCTTTCATCGAGGACACTTTCGTCCATCGATGAGCTGCTGATACCCCGTTCGCTCTCAGCAAATATTGTTGCCGACCGAATATCGGTCACATACTCATCCTCTGTGACGAGTATGCAGATCTGCTTGATCTTGCCACTACGCAGATCGCGCAAGAACCGGGTTGGTTCTAGCTTTGGCAATTGAGTTATCTCCGAAGTCAACTTCGGAGGCACAATCAGATCAAGCATACTAGCGCCTACACTTGATCAATCATTGACCAAGACGTTCAACGTCTCGGGTTCTTTCTGGGAACTTGCTTCCACGGCTTGTTGAGAGCCTGTTCTCTCAACATGTAACTCGAGATGAAGTCCTTACTCTTGAACATGGGGACTTATTCCCTCTACGTCTTCCGACTGTGGCTGTGCAACCACATTCAAGGACTGATCCTCTACGGTTGACTCTACAGTCGACCTAGGATGACCGTGTTGACCCTTTGTGGCAACAGGTTTCTTCTGTCTAGGACGTTGTCCGCTAGACATACATCCACGTCCCGGTCCACTCGACTTATTCGAGTGGTGGACCTTCGGTGCTGCCTTTACTTCTGTACATCCGCCGGGAGCTTGCTCCGCAGTGTAGTGATCATGTACACTGTGGTCTTGTGCAGTCGTACTAACGACCGTACCGCAAGTGAGGCCATCGCACTCATTCGCAGTACGTCCACACGCTTGTGGACGCTCCATGACGTTCATCAGATGGCCATCTGATGAACAAGCGGCAGGCATCTTCATGGATCGATGCTGCCAGCTCACTCTTGGCTCGTATCTTCTGAGCCAAGGTAATCCCAAGATGACATCAAATTTGTCATTTAGATCTAGTACGATGAAATCTTCATCATACTGTTCGCCCCCTAACGTGTATTGGATTCCCACTACACGTTTCTTAACGGTTATCGGTGCACCTGTAGCAAGGCGCACCGTCATTCTCGTGAGAGGGGTGTCGCCCTCAACGAACTTGAGCCTACGGTCGTCCAGTGACTGGCGACGAACAAAGTTGTTCGACGCTCCACAGTCAACCAGAGCACGAAGTGACATATTGTTTGTCACTTCTATCTTCAGGGTGATGAGTGAAATCTCATCACCAGGCGAAGAGACACAATATGATTGTGCATCTGGAGAAACTTTCGTCAAGAGATATACAAATTCTCTTGAGGTTGCTTGGTCATTAGGGCGCTCCGCCCCTACTGACCCCGACCATTTTTTGATGGTCCGCTCCGCTGTTGCGGTTTCGCAACAGCGCTGGACCCATGCTCATTGCCCCTTTTGGCAAATAAACGACCATTTCGCTCAGTATTGTTTGGTACTGGGCAGGGCACTACACTCGTAGGCGTAGTGTCCTAACTTCTGGCAGCGATTGCATGTCTGCAATCGCTTGTTGTTTGAAGAGCGAGGTCTCTCGCTCTCGACATAACAGAGGTCTATTGGTTCTGGACCTCCGAACTCTTGTCGTCTCGGTGGACGATATGAGCTTGAGCTAGCATGAACCTGTCTCATGCTAAAGTCCTCCTATTCCGCTACTGAAATAGCATCTTCTAGAGTATCTAACTCTAGACGGAACAGGTGGTTTCGGACGGGCCCCTCAGCTAGCCCTTGCATGAACACAGTAATCAACGTGTGGTCAGGCACTGGGTTGATAGTTATACTACTCGAAAGGAGTCGTATATGTTGAGCGTAAGCGTGCACGTCACGCTTACCCTGTTCGAGCTTCAGAAGCTCCTATCGGGCTCTGAACTCTGCTCTTGGCGGCTCAAACGTACGTTTGAGCCGGGTTTCGCAGGATTCGAGCGACTCAAAAGCACATGGGTCGCTCATCTCTAGCCCCAAGGCCCAAGTCTTGGCACGTCCCGCCAAATGGGATTGAGCAAATGTTAATTTCATTCGCTCATCTTCGACGCGACGAGCCCTAAAGGCTCTGTCGAGTTCGACAAACCATAACAACAGGGAGCCTTCCTCGACTCCTCTGTACTTGGTGATATCGACCTTCAAGATTTCGGGACGACGCGCATGCGTCGTCCCGCCCACAGCAACATTAAATTGCTGCTGTCTCAAGAGATCAGTCTGTTGAGCACCGAGTTCTCTCAACTGCTCGGCCTGTTGAAAGTCTTGCTGGTGAAGCAAGGCTACTTTCTCCCGTTCGATAGCAAGTTCATATTGAATGAACCTGGTGATGGAGGCAAGCTGTTGGTCTATGTTAACAGACTATAACATAGCGGTAACGCCAATGTCGCCCACGGAAGAGCTCATTCGCCCTACCGAGGCCCATTCGATATCACTCAAATGGGGAAAGCTTTCACGCGACGCGTGAAAGCTTTCCCCCTCATCCATCATATTCATGACGATAAGATTCTTGGTCGCTGGAAGGAATACAAAGTGCAATCAGGTGTAATGGGGCACATCCCTTGCGTGAGCTTAACGCAAGGGTGACGTGTGCCCGACAAGTGTACACAGGACAACCGAGGAAGCGGTAGGTTTAAACAGGACCCGAAAGCTCTGTCTTGAGGGAAAAGTAGAACTGTTTATTTAATATGGTTATTACGTTAATAAATCATCTTTGACTTGCTCTAACTATATTAAACTATCTTCTCCTATGTAATTTCCTTGCTCACCAGCCATTGCGCGCGTCCAGCAGCGATTGGTGGTTGAGTTGGTTGATGTACACCGTACATCAACCGAGAAGTGAACCCCTCCACGGATATTATCCTTAGCGATAATAATCCGACAACATCACTCATTTCGAGTGATGTTGATTGAATATTATCGAAACAGATAATATTCAAAAATTGGTACTTTTGTACCAATTTTTATGTAACGGGCTCACTCCGTTACAATCAATCAAGTACAGCGACGAGTGCAGAAAAATATGGAACTCGGCCTTGGTCGATTGAAGGCTATCGCGATTATCGAACATCGCTCAGCGACAAGTGCGCTCGAAAAGCCCGACCCCATACTATTCCAAACTTTGTTTCAAGATTTACAAGGTTACCCGCCATACCGGGAGTCAGCCAGAACAAGCTGCCTCCTCCGGCGCTCATTACCTGGCTCATGAATTCTTTGACACCTTGGAGGTAATTATATGCAAATAGACGGTCATGAAATGTCTGATGATGTCAGCAATGTCGATATATTGTACTTGTAAAGAAATGCATAAAAGGGCATCAAATACCACAGCCAGTAGCCCTGTCGCTCTCGGGGAACCGGTATCGTCGTTGACAAAAGTGGGTGCGGATGTCATACAATTTATAGCCGTTTAGACTGACCAACACGTCATTTACGATCAGGTTCCCAAACTGACTCAAAAGCACAAGTGAGTCCGAAAAAGAACCCAAACCAACTGTGCGACCTCACTACAAAGTAGACAAATTGACCACAAATGCGGCACTTCGGACCTATTTGCGACCCAAATACCAAAACCGCAGCCCACAGTCAAAGCCCAACTGACAGTGTGTGTCGGCATGTCGAGCACTGCGCTCGCACTCGCAGCGCTCGTGGGCGTCGTACCCCTAACGCTCGTGGCGCTTCTGCTCCTGTGCTTCCGCCCCGGCATCGACCGCCACAACACGCGCCGCGCCGCGCCGCACACGGCTTCGCACCAGACGTTTCTGCTCGCGCACGTGTTCGCTGGCAACGAGGAGTGCGGTCTCCTTGAACGGCGGCGAGCGACCAATGAGCTCGTGCGGCTGTTTTACCGCTTTTGGGCGCCGAGACACCTCGCGCAGCCGACCGATGCAAAGGCCGTTGTGGTTGTGCTGCACGGCGTGAACTCGCACAGCGCGCGCAACAACCAGTTCATGATTGAGGTCCTGCAGCACGGGTTTTTGGTGGCCGGGATCGACCACGAGGGCATGGGGCGCAGCGACGGCCGACACGGGTATTTCTCGAGCTTCCACGCGCTCGTGGACGACGCAATGGCGTTCGTTGAGCTCGTGAAGCGCAAGTACCCGGGCAAGAAGGTGTTTCTGCTTGGCGCGTACGTGGCTGTAGCATTGCAAAGCTGCTGGTAGAGCTGATAAGGAGGGGAATGTTGTTGTTGTTGGTGTTGTTGATGTTGCTGTCATTGTTGTGTGTGTGTGTGGTGGTGGTGGTGGCTACAGATCGCTGGGCGGCCTGATTGTGCTGCATGCACTGAGTAAAGGCGGGATAGAGCTCGTGGATGGCGCGGTGATCCTGTGCCCGGCTACCGAGATTCATAAGGCGTCGCGGCCGTCGGCTGTCATGGAAACCATCGGCAGGCTGCTGCATCGATACGTGCCCAAATTGCCGCTCGTGACGGCCAATAGCGGCAATAACAACTCGCCAGAAGTTGCAGCTCTTGTGAGCGCAGATAAGCATGCTGACCCACTGTATTACCCCGGCAAGATGCGCATTGGCACGGGTCTAGCTCTCCTCGAAGGAATTGCGAGTATTCAGGACAAGCTAGAGCTCATTGAGACGCCGTATCTGCTGCAGCACGGTATGGACGATAAAGCTTGCAGTGTCACGGGGTCAGCGGCGCTTCATTTACGGACGCGCAGTGTTGACAAGACGTTCAAGACGTACGAAGGCGCGCACCACGATCTAGCCAGCGAGCCACCTCGCATCCGCGATGCTGTTGTGCGCGACTTTGTGGCTTGGCTGGAAGACCATTGCAAGCCATAGTCGATTGCGAGGGCATCATTGCACGCAAGCAGTCGGTCTTGCTCAGGTGCATCAGACCTCTAACTCCAGGTAAATTGATGCTGTTGAGGGGTTAGCAGTGCTCCATCGAGTTGATCGATCGGCTGACAAGAAGTTCTATGGACGTCAGGAGTTTGGAGACGCCAAATGGTCGACATCAATCGAGCAGTGTCAACCTGCGAGAGCGTTGTGCCTGTCAACGCTCCCCGCGTGTTGCTAGCGTGCTCATGAAGACAAGCGGCAAGCAAACTCAACATCAATTTTGCTCTGTCCTTCCTAGCGCTGCAGAAGTATCACACGATCGTCAAGAAACAAAGCAGGTGGCGGATGAAAGCAAAGCAGGAGCACGCACAGCACCCCAAAGCTGTGCCCTCACTTGCCGTCGATCTTGCCGTCCATGGCATCGACCAACACCACTCGCTTCGCCATGTACTTGTGCAGAAACTTGCGTCCGAACGCATAGTACGACACGCTGTACCAGATCATGCAGCCAAACTGCAGGATAAGCAGCATGAGTACCATGAACCAGTGCGAGGGCCAGACAAAGGCCACCACGATCGTGAGCGCCAACGCGCCGATCCAAGCTGTACCCGCTGCGCTTCGCTTGCGCGAGAGCATGCGCTTCTGTAGACGTTGCTGTCCCATGATGAAAATGAGGCTGGAAAAGGTGGCAAGATTGCTCAAGGAGTAGAAGAACGCGTAGAAGCGCACGTGGTGCACGCTCGTGCACAGCATGACGGTGGCGGCAAAGGCAAAGAGCCCACTGAGCACATAGCAGCCGATGGCACTTAGCAAGCGCTGGTGGAGCGTCAACTGGTCAAACTCGTCCCCAATGTCGTCCAGCAGACCGTCCTCTTCGTCACTGTCCCCGTCGCTCGAGTCCTTTTGACGTCGTAGCCTGACCTTCTTCTCCTTGCTGCTTACATCAACGTACACCGCGTCTTTCGTCGACTGCAAGAGACTCGTGCCACTGCTTGCGGTCGCTTCTTTGGTCCCCTCCATGGCCTTGTCCACGCTCTTCCTGGTCTCCTTCATGGCGTCTCCCACGCTCTTCCTGGTCTCCTTCATGGCCTCTCCCACGCTCTTCTTGGTCTCCTTCATGGCTTTGTCCATGCTCTTCTTGGTCTGCTTGCCGGTCTTCTCCAGGCTCTTCTGCGCCTTCTTGCTCGTCTTCTCCAGCTCCTTCTGCATCTTGTCCATCTCCTGCTGCGTCTGCTTGGACAACCCCTCGAGCTTCTCGCTCGCCTTCTTGCTCTGTTGCTTCAGTTGGTCCATCATAGCGACTGCTGCTCCTCTCTCCCTCCCTCCCTCGTTCTCTTCAGTCGCAGTCTTCTTCCTAGAGGCTGTGCGAGCTGAGTGGCTACGCAGTTACAGGGGGCAACGCGTTCGTTGGTTGTCGACACGACTTTGGATCCGTTTCGAGCTGGACCCGGTTACGATCTCGTTTTTTCGACACCGAGAAAACCGAGAACTGAAGTGGTAGCGAAGGAGTTCATACATTATCCACGATCCTGTTTTTTATTTATCGCTTCGGCCATAAAATAAACAAAAGATTGACGATAGCTACCGGATGACTGCGGCCTGAACGGCGGGTCGTGACCGAGTCGACAAACGGAAGCGAAGGCACATTCCGATGTTCAGACCTCTACAAACTAATGCTGGACACAAAAAGGTCGTCCTCACGTCGCAACCAGCTTCCGATTCGTACCTACTGGCAGCAGCGCCTCCTGTTCCCGTCTCATTTCGAGACCCAACTCCGTGCTCTGGCTGTGTGCCCCGACTCGATTTGCTCAGCGCACGTAGACCGCATGTCCACGACGGCCAAGCAGAGCCAGTGAATGATACGATGGTACACACTCTCTCTCCGTATAGAGTGGATCTATGAGCTGCATTGGTACAGCGTCTCCCTACGCGCTGAGTAGCTACGTGCTGACGTACGTCGCCGCTTTAAAACAGCTGCTCCGCAGGATGGCACGGCCATAGGGGACGAACGAGGCGCCGTACCAGAGCATAGCAGCGTACTGGACAATCACGAGCAGCAGCACGAGCGGACCGGCCTTCGGGACGCCGAACGCAACGACCAGCGTCGCCGCCATAGAGCCCATCCAGACCGCGCAGGCCACACGGCGCACGGGCAGACACATGACGCGGAGCTGCCGCACGGGGCCAATCAAAAAGAGCGAACTGCCAATGCTGCAGAGAGCGCCGACCGTGTAGAAAAAGGCAAACTGCTTCACGTGGTGGGGTCCGCCCCACAGCATCAGCGTCGACAAGACGGCGCACAACGCGCCACAGCCGTAGCAGCCGAGAGCGCCGTAGAGGCGCTGGCGCCGGTTGAGGCCGCACGCGTGGCCCAAGTCGCCCAGTAGCAGTCCCTCTCTCTCCTGACTCGCACTGGAGTCGCGTGGCGCGCCGCCCTCTTCCACGTCGACGCTGCTGCCGCTCTCGCTGGCGGTCGTCGACGCAGTCGTTGAGAGCTCTGCAGCGGTCGGCCGCTGCGGGTGGAGCGCGCCGACTTTCGCCTGCAGAGCTGCGGCGCCGGTCCGCGTTGCCGTTCGGAGAGAAGTGGCGAGCGACGAGTGCTGAGCCGCGTCCTGGAGCGACTCGGCCGTGTGGCGCACGAGTGTCGTCGCTTGCGTCGACTTGGACATGACGTGCGCGAGCATAGTGGTCTTTGTCGTCGTCTTCTTTGTCTTGTTTTGCTTCGGTTTCGCTTTCTTTCGGGTTATTGCACCGTGTTTTGGCAAAACGAAAAGACGCGTACAAGCGCATGGAAGGCAGAGCACAAACGGGCCCTTTTTGCGCCCCTCCTCGGCTTGTGGTCGACTCAGACGTCGCAACTGTTTTGTCACTTTTCATTTATCAACTCCATTGCAGATTTGCATTCGACTGAGTGATCGAGGTTCGCTACTACTACTACTACTACTACTACTACTACTACTACTACTACTACTACTACTACTACTACTACTACTACTACTACTACTACTACTACTACTACTACTACTACTACTACTACTACTACTACTACTACTACTACTACTACTACTACTACTACTACTACTACTACTACTACTACTACTACTACTACTACTACTACTACTACTACTACTACTACTACTACTACTACTACTACTACTACTACTACTACTACTACTACTACTACTACTACTACTACTACTACTACTACTACTACTACTACGACCACTACCACTTTCATCGTCCGACTCCCGCATGTCGGACTCGGAAGAGTACGAGTACGAGTACGACAGCGACGAGGAGTTGGAGGCCGACGCGTCGACGTCGCCCGCAGCTGCGGACGCCAATCCACTGGACGATGACGAAGAGCAGCAGCTCCTCGTCGCCCGCGAGGCGCAGATCGCGCTCGAGAACACGTTCTACGAGGCCGAAGACTTTCACCATCGCGGCCACTTGACGCAGGCGCGCGCGTACTTTGAGCGCGTGATCGCTATGGAGCGCGCGATGGCGGCGCAGTGCAAGTGGAGTTTCCAGGCGCTGGAGCACGTGGTGAAGATCTGCGCGCGTCGGTGTGAGTGGGACGCGATGCTGCAGCACTACGAGCAGATGCTCGAGCACTTGGCGTTTGTGACGAGGAACGAGAGCACGGAGTCGATTTCGTCCATATTGGACATTGTGTCGCACGCGGTCGGCAGCGAGCAGAAGGCGAGCGCCAGGTACACGTCGCGGATGTACGAGTTGACGCTGGAGAAGCTCAAGGACGTGAACAACGACCGACTCTGGTTCAGCATGAACGCCAAGCTGGGGAAGCTCTACCTCGACTTGCAGGACTTTGATCAGTTGCAGACGCTACTGCAGCAGCTCTATGGATACTGCCAGACGTCCGACGGCGTGCAGGACCACGCGAAAGCGACGTCGCTGTTGGAAGTCTACGCGCTGGAAATTCAGGTAAATGGAACGGACGATGTCGTTTGCCTGCTTGGATCCAAGCGCTAACACTGGTCTATGGACGCGCAGCTGTGTGTCGCTACCAAGAACAGCGCCAGAATGCGCGCTATCTACCCAAAGACACTGGATCTGGACGCAGCTGTTGCTGACCCGCGAGTCATGGGGTGCGTGATGCTGTCGTTACCGCAGTAGAATGATTGAGTGATGAATGACTTTGTTGGCTCCTGTGGCGCAGCTTTATCCGTGAGGAAGGCGGTAAAATGTACTTGGAAGAGAAGGAATGGACGCTGGCATACAACGAGTTTTTCGAGGGCTTCCGTAACTACCAAGAAGCTGGAAACTCGCGTGCAACGCAGTGTTTGAAGTATGTCGTCCTGGCCAATATGTTAACGAGCTCGAATATCAATCCTTTCGATTCGCGAGAAGCAAAGGTGTATCAGGATGTGGAGGAGGTTGGCGCCATGCTGCTACTGCGGAGTGCGTACGAGGCCAACGACATTGTACAGTTTGAGAAGATTCTGAAGAACCCGAGTTACAAACTGCTGAGTGATCCTGTAATGAACCGGTGCTTGAACCCGCTGTTGCGCAATATACGATGCCAAGCTATGAAGACGATTGTACGTCCGTACCAAACGATCCGCGTAGACAGCCTTTCGAAACGCATGAACATAACGACAGAGGATGTTGAAGACATTGCTGTTGCTCTGATCCAAAACTGCGAGTTAGACGCGAAGGTTGACCAGAGCAGGGGGCTTCTTGTGCTGCAGACGCGACAAAAGTACGTCATTCGTGTGCGCTTTTTATTTGTAATTAGTTCGTTTCCGACACGTGTTTTTTCCTGTTTGTGGTAATAGAGCCCGAGATGCTACCAAGACGTACGATGCGTTGGACCGATGGACTCGAGCTCTTGCCGCCACACATGCATCAATTGCCGCGCGGGTAATTGCACCTCCGTGACCACAGGAAATGCAATCTTGTCGTGTGCAGTTTAACTCGAGCAACAGAAATGGTATGCGATCGAAATCAATCATGCTTAGTCGTCTCATTTACCTGCTCGGACGTCCAATTTCGCAGTGACGACTTCCTGTCATTGCTCGTCCCGCAACCGAGTCAGCGTCGAGGCTTCGTCATCATGCAATCCGACACTGACTGTTGTGTTCCGTGATGTAGCTCGTCACTGCTTCGTCAGATGCTGTAGAAGGCGCCACCTGGTACATAGCGCGAGTCGCCAGGTCCATGAGAGAAACCGAATTCGATACCACTACAGTCTCGCAATGACGTGTTTCGATTCGGCTGTCCAAGAAAAGTGCCGACGGCACCACATTGAACGTCGCGCCAAGCAGCGCCTGCGTCGATAACACGCTGTAGCTCGTGACGATGCTGACGTTATCGGCACCTACAAGAAGCGTCAACGCCTCTAGCAGCTCCTGGCGCTGAATCGCAGTACCGACTGGTACGTCCACAACCTTGTCATCGTCGCTAGTTGTTCCGAGGAGCACGTCCATATCCACGAGCACAAACAGGATCGGTACCGACAGCGGCATGGCAACGAATCGCACCACCGGATCAGCAATCACGTGACGACTCTGGATGAGCTTCAACTCGCAGTTCTTTCCGCCACGATCGAGGGTGATACACAGCACGTCTTGAACTGTCGAAATCACGTGCTCCAGTGCTCGCTTAAAGTCGTCGGGAAAGCGATAGAGCCACGCTAGTAACAGTGCGGCGAACAAGTCACCAGTGCCAGTGTAGTAGCTGTCAATCCACGGAAACCGCACTTCGTATTGCTCACAGTACAGTGCCGCGTCACTGGTTCTGCTAAAGCGGATCTTGCTGCCAATGACCACAAACTCCCTCGGCGGTGTCTCGGCCGCTACTGCTTCCTGGAAACTGCTGATGACCACGACTTTTGGCCCCATTGTGTGCAGCTTCTTGCACGCTCGCATGGCGTCAGCGACGGTCCGAAGCTCCATGTCTGCTAACACTTCGCTCTCATACTGGTTCGGTGTCAACACGTCGCAGATCGGCAGGACCTTTGACCGGTACAAGTTCACTGCCAACAAAGCCACAAACGTCGAATGAACGTGAGGTTGCAAACATATCGAAACACGACGGACCATAGGAAAACGTACCCATTTCTATCGGTACATACAGCCGGCCCCGATCGCCCAACACGGGGTCGCATACGTATACAAGACGCTCGGCGTCTGTTTGAGCAGCTTGTAGACGCTCGTATACGCGCACAATCGCAAGCAGCAGCGAGACAGAGCCCACGTAGCCCGTGAGCAGGTGCGTATGTGCGTCTTGGAGCAGGTTGTTGGCCGCTAAGCCGTCGAGAAGATCGTGGAGCTCTTCGCCTGTGAGACGGCGCCCGGTGACCCGCTCGTAGCCCGTGTGGTTGGAAAACTGCACGCTGTTGATCGGGTCTACGTCCATCCCCAGTAGCTGCAGTGGGAGCACGGCGCTCTTGTTGCCAACATAGCCCTGGACGACGTGCGACTGGATACTCAGCACACGGCCGCCTCTCTCCGTCTGCTCTGCCATGGTATACTGCTACTTCCTCCTGACAGGCGCTGAGTCGAGTCGAGTCGATCGTATGTATGTGTGTATGTATATTTGTACGTATATTTGTACGTATATTTGTATGCATGAATGACACTCAAGTATCCACGACTACCTTTCTAAAGAGACGAGACACGTCGATTTCTACCGTCGAGCAAGCCCCCAGTAGGCACTACATACGATAGAAATTCTCATGGTACGCGTGACTCCGTTGTTAAACTTACATATTCACATGCAGTGGCATATATGAACCCGTCCATGAATTTGGACATACATACATGCATTCATACATGCATTCATTCATGCATACACATACATTCACGTACACTCATTCATGCATGCGTGCATACAACAAAGTTCATAAACAAATACCTACATGCATGTGAACGTTCATTTACACGTACACGCATTTACCCGCATGTGCATGTTACATTCATGATGTAGGTGGAAGCAGAGGCGTAGGAAGAGGACGTTGGCGGCAAACGTAGTGGGTAAACTGTCGTGCTTGTCCCCTCTCGGCGACGGTCGAACGGGACAAGAAACGAGCGATTGCGTCGCAAGCGAACAAGAGCGTCGCAGTCAAGTGACGACAACGTGCTGTAGAGAAGTGAACGTGATGGCATCTGCTGGTGGCAGAGACGCCGCAAGAGAGCGGGGGGACGGACGCACGAACTGCTCGTGCGGACCCGTCTTCCCCACACAGATGACACTGTGCGTTCGTCAATGTGACACTGTGTTGGACAAGGGGAGAAAAACGTGCGCGAGCAAAGCGGCGTGGAACCATATGACGCCAAGGAGCACGTGGAGAGGGGATTACCACCGCCTGGGCACACCCCCTCTGCACTGCTACTGCTGCTGCTCGTGGCGGTACATGTGCTCAGACGTGACAGCCATCACCTGAGTGACAGTCTGTCAGTCCACCAACCAGTCCACCAGTCTGTCAGTAGTTAGTCGTGGACACCCATCTACCTGCCTATGTACCTACCTACCCACCACGTACCTACCTGCGCCCCCCCACTTCGCTACTCACGCACGTGCGCATGCAACAACACTTGTGGTGCTGCTGCCGGTCCGTTATCCGCGGCAAAGCTACAGCTCTGAACGCTATGGTCCTCGTGTCGCGAGCCCCTCATGATGCGTGGAATGACCACATTGCGTGTAATGATTGCCAACGCGCTCGCGCATCTGCGCCCGCGTTCAACAGCAGCACAGCTGGCGCGCAATCTGTCAGCTCGTCGTTTGGTTGTCATGTCCCGTGCGTCAAGAATTGCAGCATCGTAGCGACCACATTGGCCGCGCGGGTAGTACCGTTGTCGCGACGGAACGAGCAATGGGGTCGCTCGTGTGTGACGTCAACAAAGCGGTTGGCGACTTGACGTCGACGTGACGTCCGTTTCAGTGCGCCATCCCCCCCGAAGAGGTCCTGCCGCTGACGCTCGCAGACATGTGCCCTATAGTCCGGGGGAGGAGGAGGTCACGTGCTGCGACAACTTTACGTTCCCCGTTGTTCCAGCTGTCGCGACTGTGGGCGTCTGGCTCGCTGGCAGCAGATGGAGACTGTGCCTTTCGGTCGAGCTTCTTCCATCCAGGAGACAGCGCCAGCCTCATCGTTGATTTCAGTATCAATATCAATATCAATAGCATGAGCCGCCGCGCAGTCGTAGTTGCAGCACTCTGTGTGTGGCAAAGGAGCCGGAGCCGGTCCAAGAGACGTGGAAAGAAATCTCGCGCACGTTGTGGATAAGTGGAACCATCGGGTTGGAAAATACGCGCAGCTGGTTCCACAGCAGCACTGCTGCGACCTACGCGCACGCTAAAGTTGGACAGACGGGCTGCTTGCTACGGGGCATTACCATCTTGGCCGTCTTTGTCGTGCGGTTCGAAGGCCGCGGACGTCGTTCGTTCCTTCATTTCGCACTTGGTACCAAAGCAGATCGAGCGTAACGAGACCGACGAAAAAGGCGTGTGGGAAGTCGACGTACGGCGTTCGACAAAGGGACACAGAGCATGAGAGTCGCTCGTCTCGTGCTGCTCACGGCCGCCGCGACGTTTGCCAGCACAGCAGTAGCAGGTACGACCACTGACTGCCATTGACCACACGCTTTTGCACACTTGTGGGACAACATGTCGACTGACAACAACTTTTGCTTGTGCTGCAGATGATGCGTGGACAGACCCGACGCCATTGGCCTTGACGCTCTCACCGGCGGCGGACTCGCTCATCTTGACACGGAGCAGCCCTTCGACGCCCGAGACTTGGTCCGGGCCCGTCACTCAAGGCACCGCCTCGAATGGGATCACGCAGGATGCAAAGCCTCTTCCTCTTGCCGCCTACACCCCACCTACAACAACCAGTCTCTTGGCCGCCCGCGACGCGGACTTCAACGCCGCGATGGCGCTCGACAATGACGACGAGACAAGTGAACGTGCTCCGACTGTTAGTGACAACACGGGAGGACTCGCTCCGACTGTTGACGTGACGCCCAGTCCGAGACTGCCGCCCGACCACAGGACAGCCCCTGGTCCAGTGGCCACTACAAACGGAACAACGACGACGACGACGCTCACGCCACCGCCAGCGTCCCTTGTTAACAAGTCGTCACTAGCTCCCGTTGACTCCCTCAACAGTCGCAGTGGAGGGGTCAAAGCAGGCGACGCTGCCGGCGGCATGGGTACGATTCTGCCGGCCGTGTTCGGGTCCGTCGCGTGTGTCGGCGTGTTGGCCGTCGCGGTCGCGATCAAGAAGAGACGGGGCGCCGAGACGGGCGAGCACCAGCGGCCGCCCAACTCCGACTGCGAGTACAGCGGGGCCGACCTCACCCCCGACAATCGCGCGCTGTGTGTCGCGAAAGCAAAGTCGCCGCCCATTGCGCGAAAGGCCGTAGCGACGACAGGCGCCAAAGATTTGGCCGCGTCGACGGCAGTCGCTGACTTTGTACGAACGCACTCGTCGACTTCGTCGTCGTCTCCGTTTGGCAGCACGCGGTGCAAAGTGCGCGTGAGCTCTCCGAACCAGAGCTTCTTTGCAAATAGAGAGACTAATATGGAGTTCCAAACGACGTGCCCACTTCGGGAGAAAGGGCACGACGCGACGCTCTCGATCGGTAGTGTGCGGGTCATGTCTTCCCGCACGACTCACCAGTCGCAGCAGTAACAACATACCGTGTAGCGATTTGTACTGCGTTGGCTTGTCCACCTACCGCACCATCTTGTCCGTCTCAGCTCTCTCTCTCTCTCTCTCTCTCTCTCTCTCTCTCTCTCTCTCGATTCCAGACGAGTGAACGCGTGCTGCTAATCCCGTCGAACCCACCTACTGACAACCTCTTCGCTCCACGGCACTAGACGCACACGAAAGAAAACAAATCGAGAAAAACATGCTGAATCCAATCGACGGGTCCTCCCGCTCTTGCCTAGCGCTCCTCCTCCCCCCTCCCTCTCTCTACTTGCTACAACGTCTTCGTGCCCCACAGTGTCCATTATGATGGCCATCTCGGCACGATGTTGCGATACGAAAATCCATCGAAGAATGGAGTGTTGAGAGCCTCTTTGGCTGTCACCCGGTTCTCGGGGTCCAATACCAGCATGAGCTGCAGCAGCTCCAGTAGACCACTCTGGGCGTCCTCGCGAGAAATCATCTCCGCCAGCGACCGCATTCTTCGCACGTGGTCGACGCTTTCGTCACTCGACGAACCAGCAGGCCAGTTGAGCCTCCCACGACGAAAAAACTTGGACGACGCCGAGTGTTTCGATGCCTTGGTCGCCATTTTCACGGGAAGTGGACCGATGCAGCGCTCCATGAGAGCAAGGTGCTCCATATTCTCGTGCGTAGCAAACAGCAGCTCACCCAGGTAGAGCTCTGCAATGATACAGCCAGCGGACCAAATATCCGACGGATAACTCCATCCCAGCCCAAGAATCACCTCGGGCGAACGGTATTGACGCGTGTTGATGATGGAGCTCTTCGACTCGTCTTCGTACGTCGCACCGCCAAAATCAATAAGCTTCACTGCATTGTTCGCCGGGGGACGAAGCGACGGTCGCCCGTTGTCACCACCAGACACATCGCGCTCACGTTTCTTCCACTGGCGCCCATTTGACCATCGTTCGCGTCCTGAAGATCCCTCACGCGAGTCAAAGGAGGACGTCGACGACGGCGATGACGAGTCGCACGAGAGTCTCTCTTCTTCGTCATCCACCAGCAGTATGTTTTCGGGCTTGAGGTCTGTGTGAATAAGCCGGATACTGTGAATAAACTCCAGCGACGTCAAGAGCTGCCACGCATAAGCGCGGATGCAGTGCAGCGGAAACGGCTTGTAGTCGTGGTTTTTCAAGTAGTCGTACAACGAGCACCCGAGACGCTCAAACACCATGCACACGTGACCCTTGTACTCAAGCCACTTGAACATACGGACACAGAGCGACTCGTTGTTCTTGTCCTTGTCGTTCACATCCTGCAAGATAGCTGCCTCAATCTTGGCCGACTCCGTGTATTTGTCCACCTTGCGAACAACTTTGATGGCCACCACAATGTTGCGCTGCTTATCGAGACACTCAAGCACACGGCCAAATGTACCCAGTCCTGCCTCGCGGATGATCTTGTAGCGATTGGCAATGTATTCACCAGGTTTACCGGCGTAGCTTCCCACTGTATCGTCGTGCGATGCACTATCTTCGCTGCCGTCTTTCGGTGTCGCAAGCGGCGGCATCAACAGCGACTGCCGCTCGTGGTACGGCTCATGTCGTCGCGACTGCCGCTGCTTGTGCTTCCCGCGCGGTGAACGACGACGCGTCTTGTAGTGCTTTTCAGGACTCTTGCGTCGTCCACGCGTCTGGCTGTCGCTACGCGACGAGCGGGACGTCCGGCCGTTATAGCTGCAACCATTGCAGCAAAAGACCAGATCGTAAGTACAACAACAGGAGCCTCAACAAAGTCCGTGCAAACAGCGCTCAATGGACCCCGAACCGTTGTTGGCGATGCCGGTGGCTTCCATTGGATTCCGACCGCGACCGCGTGTCCACATGGTATCTTGGCTTACGGGAATCCGACCGGGACCTCGACCGACCTGGCGCTCTCGAGTCTATACAAGTGAACAGCAAACATCGAGTAAACAGGTGACACATTTAGTACCACTACCAACAAAACCCTTTGCAACTGAGCGGGTCCAACACAAAAGTAACAACAACAGCAGCAACAACAGCAGCAACAACAAAAACAGTATGCAACGTGCCCATTTTTAGTCTGTACCTATTTTGCGTCGCATGGAGCGACTGCGGGGGCTAATTTTCGAGTCATAGTCCGAGTCGAGGGCCGAGCGTCGGGGACGGCGTCGGTGTACCGGGGGCGGCCGCGTGTGACGCCGGCGCAAGTGGTAGCGCAGACGAGACGACACGGGGCTGGAGCTCCGACTGCGCCGGCGTCGACCCGTCGAGTTGTCTGCGCGTCGCCGCCGCTCCATTGGCCGTCTGTCCACTACTGGCAACGACAACGGAAGCTACGCGAGCGATTTTTGCCGCAAAAGGGAGGTGAAGTCGTTGTATAAAGTGGTTGTGTGAGGTGGCAGCATGAAGTAAAGGCAGCCGTAGCAGTCTAAAGTAGGCGGCCACAACGCTGGGCACAAACTTACCCATGAAAACGGCACAAAAGTAACGACAAAGCATCGAAAAAGTAACGCACCACCGGGCCCGCCCCGGACCGACCACATTCGCTCAACCGACACCCATCAGCACCACACCATGACGACGCTCGTTGTGGGCAAGAACTTGCCAGGCAGTCGCAACGACGAGTTCTTTGGCTGGGAAGAGAGCGGCGCGGACCGCAGCGCCGACGTGGGCGGCGCGTTCGACGTCGAGCAGCTGATCCAGCGCCAGATCCGAGCGGACCCGACAGCGCTCGCGCCCATCTACGACGTGCCCGACGACCAGAACTCGTACTTGTGGCAGTACGAGCACTTGCGGCAGATCATGAAGGAGCTGAACGTGCTGGTCGCGCGTCTCGACGGCACGTGCACGCGCGAGTCGTGTCCTGTCATGAAGGCCACAGACGAGTGGGTGTTCCTGTGTGCTGCCCACAAAGCGCCGAAAGAGTGCTGCGCGTTTGAGTACATTGTGCACACGATGGACAATGTCAACACGTTGCTCACGAGCAGTCGCGTGTTCCCGTCGCGGACGAGCATTAGCTCGAACGCCACGCAGTACTTCCAGTCGGTCTCGCGTCGACTCTACCGCATCTTTTCGCACACGTACTTCCACCATCCCGAGGTCTTTAGTGACTACGAGGACGCGTCGTACTTGTGCCATCGCTTTGTGTACTTTGCGCTGCACTTTTGCCTCATTCCAAAGAGTTTGCTCATTATTCCGGACATTGGCTGACGAGGGCGCAGAAGTAGTCGGATCCGTCCAACGAAGCAAAGAATTGAGTCTTTAGTGTACACTCATGACGACGTGTGTGTGTGTGTGTTTTGTATTGTGAGTAGTGATCGCTTGTTTACTCTTCTTCTTCTTCTTCTACTTGTCCGTGCTTAATGGAATGTACTAAAGGCTCACCTCAGCTGCGAGGGAACGCCGCGCACAGCCGTCGCTGCTGTTACTTGGTACGTGTCAGCAGATGATGCAGCTACTCTCACGCCAGGTCCGCGTGACCCCACAGCAGCAGAGCTTCGCTCAGTCAACCGACCAGACGTGCACTTTTGAACGTCACGTACGTTCAACGAGCTGCTCTCACGACCGCCGCAAGTTGTTGAGCCGCTTCTCGAGGTCGCTGATCGCCGAGTCCGTCGACCCGCCGTCGCCTGCAGCCACGGGAGCAGCAGGTAGCTGCACTGCTGCCGGCACCGCTTTTTCCGTAACAGCTGTCCGTGCCACCTGAGCTGTTGGGGCTTCAGGCACGGCCCCTGTCATGTCAATGCCGATTTCGTCCAGTACCTGTCCGACAATCTTCTCCTCTTCTTCTTCGTCTTGGTCCGCGTCCATGATGTCATCGATCGTGTCGCCCACGGTCTCCTGCGTCAACTCCATCTTCTCGCTCTCCTTGGTATACTCCATCATGATTTGATTCAGGCGCGGCAAGTTCATTGTCGTCGCCATGGCCTTCATCGCAGTCGTCGTGCCCTGCAGCGCCGACGTCATTGCTTCAGCCGACTGGGCCGTGTCCAGGCGCAAGGAGACCGCCTGGAGCTGGGACCGCATCGTGTAGAACTTCGTCACGTGCTGGCGCGTCCGCACCAGGTCTTTGGCCATGATCTTGACGCTCGCAATTTGCCCCTGTTTGGCCATCTTCTTGATCTCGATAATGAGCTTCTTCTCCTGCAGCTGCAGGTTCGTGCGCTCGCGGTCGAGCTGCCGCACCGCGCGGTTGATCTCGCGCTTGTTCTCGCGCAGCTGCTCCTTCAGCGTCTTCTTCGTGCCGAGCGCGTTGCCCATCGCGACGGGAGCTCGGGCGGTTCTTGAATTGGGCGGTTGGACGATTGGGCGGTGAAGTAACAATAGAGGACAAAGCGGACTTGGGCGAGACCAGGTTTTATCGTTCTCGGGAAGAATCAGCGTGTCCACGACGATCGTGGAGGTGCGGTATTACTACCGGGAGGTGGACGAAGTGGAGAGGATATCGGTATATTAAATCGCCAGGACCTGCTACCAGGGCACCTACCCGGGTTTTTTTGGGGTGCATATGCAATACGTGCTCTGTCTTTCTTGTGTAACTGCCCAATAGTAATGTAACGCACACCATTTGAATGACTGTGCAAGCGTCACGAGTGTTCCTGTCGCCTCGTGACGAAGCAACGCGCTAGTAAATAAAAACAAACACTGGCTCAAAACGACAAACCCCTCTCTCTACCCACATTTGCCCTCTTTGCCTCCACCTGTTGCCATTCACCATGTCTAAAACCAGTGCCGACGTGACCAACGATACCCTTGCGCCTCCCGCCATCCAAAGTGCCAAACGTAGCTGGGTTTGGGCTTATTTTGAGACTGATGCCGATGCCAATAAAGCCCTTTGTCAAGTCGTCACAAACCGAAGGACGGGCCGTGCATGCGGTCGCTCCCTTTACCTTGACAAGTCCGGCAGCACCAAGAACCTGAACGAGCACCTGACAAAGGTTTACAATCTCAGCGATCCAAAGAAGAAGGACGAGAACAATGCATCTATTCAGAAGTATTTCCAAACTGAACTCTCGAAAAGGTGAGCTTGTGGAACACATGTGGCCGGCATTTGCAAAAGACTGAGTCAATCCATGTTGTAGAATGTGTTGACCGGATAGGACCTCAAAACCCACATCGGATACTTCATTGATGACGCCCACCTGCCGTTCGCCATCATCGAACAAAGCTCTTTTATCAATCTTTTAGGTGCATGTAACGAGAATATACCCCACATGATGGTCAAGGCGACGCCATCCAGAACCATCTATTCCGAATGTGTGCATAGCACCGCGAATTCACCAAGATCAGTCTTCCTAAGGTCGAATGGATCGCTTTTACTTCCGATCCTTGGACTTCAACCAACGTGAAATCCTTGATGGCGCTCACTGCTCATTGGATTGACACCGATTGGAAAATGCAAGACCTATTGCTGGAAGTTCCTGCTGTGATGGGTAAGTGCATTTTCCTAATTGCATGGGTACTGTGGGATTTAACAACCAGATCTTCTTCTTTCCTTTAACAATTATGTTTTGCAGGTGAACATTCTGCTTAAAATTTTGCAGAACTGCATTGCAACGTTCTGTCCGACTATGGCATCGTTGGTCCCACCCTGCCATTACTGCCGACAATGCCAGCACAAACTTTGCTATGGCTCGAGCTCTTTTTGGCATGGAGCATGTGAAGATCAACAATAAGGAACAGCTGTTTGGTTGCATGGCTCACGTGATCTATTTGGCTGTAATGGATGGAATCACGGCCCTTGGAGGGAAAGAGTACCTCAACAATGAAGAGGAGGGCTCCGCCGCCACATGTATCATGTCGGTGCACAACATCACCACCGAACCTGATGTTTTCGATGTCAACTTGGCTACGGTTTCAAAGCGTGTACACGGCATGTCAGTCTATGTAGGATATTCTGACCAACGTCGCCAGCGTTTTGACCAAGCTATGGAGTACCATCGACAAGGTTATACTGTGAAATGCTTGATTTTCGATGTCAAAACGCGGCGGAATTCGACTTATTCGATGTGCTCGCGCTTTTTGCACTTACGGTATGTACTTGTGAATTGTTTCTTTGACTCATTGATGAAATTGTTTTTCTTTTCGGTTCGACAGCCCGACCGTAGCTGGAGTCTGTCTCAGCGATGTCGATTATCAGAAATTTGCCCTTTTGAAAGAGGAATGGGAAAAGCTTGGTCAGCTCATGAACTTTCTGTAACCTCGGAACACAGCAAAGGAAAGGCTTGCGGGTTCACGTTTCCCCACACTTGAGAAAGCTATCCCGTTCTTTTTTGCCCTCATTGTTCAATTTCAAAAGGTGCGAAGCTATGATTTTGAAGTAGAGAATCCGAGATATCAATATTTATGTTCAAACATATTTGAATCTTGCAGGTGAAACATACCTACCACTCGGAGCAGCTTCTACAGCCAGCTAGAGACATTATACAAAAGCTTGAAAAGTATCTCAAGGCGGCTCTCAAGAAACCTGTTTACCTGCACGCCGTCAATCTCGATCCCCGCATCAAGATGTTTTCCTTCAGCAAACATGCAGGATATTTGCTCAGTATGGAATCCATACTCGCATGATTCGTGAGAGCTTTGCTGTTGCTGCAAGCCGCTACAGCACTCATGCAGACGTTCCCATGGCCCATGAAGAAGCAGGTGAAGAGGTCGACGATTTTGAATATTTCATTGATGCAAAGCGGCAGAAGATTACCAACGTGTACGGGGGGAAATGTGAAGTATTGGGGGAAAGACCTGGCCGATAGGAATGTGGATCCTTTGGGATATTGGCACCGTAGGCCGGTGGATGCTCCTAGTTTGGGCAAGACGGCGAGGGTCCTTCTGGCAATTCATGCTACCAGTGTTCCTTCCGAACGTGCTTTCTCGATGAGTGGTTTGATTTGCAGGGATGAAAGGTCATCTCTGAACGGGGAAAACATTGAGATGCTGATGACAAGAAGTTTCCGAGGGGTGTTATGTAGAGAGGGATCCTTATCTATTGTAAATGCCATGCAATATATACCGATATGTATCTACAAATACATATGTTAAACCCCAGGGACCGCCCGGGGGGTTGACTTACTGCCCAAACCCCACCTTCCGGTCACCCCCCGGGGGTAACACCTGGGAGATTCCGGTCCGGGTAGGAGCCCTACCAGCTGCGACAACAAACACCGACATCCAGTGCTGCTATCACAGCAGCTCCTTGCAAGAAGCACCTTGATCATATTGTACTGTACGAAGTACCTGCACGTCGATAGCAAAAAGTACTCGTATGATAAATGCAGTGCTATCATTGTTGTAAGTCAATACGTCACGTAACGAACAGAGGAAACGCACTAAGGTGAAATATAGAGAGTGATATTCATTTGATCATCTCCTGTGTAGCTATCCCACCCTCGTGGCAGGAGACACCGTACGCTAAAATTGACTAGTTGCTCGGCGCCAACACTATGACCAAAAACGGTACTCGTTCCACTTAGTACAGCACCTTGAAGCTCGTTTACAACACTCCTCCTCGTCGACACTGCCCTTGGCAACGAACTCGTCTTTCTTTGCCACCGTCGACTCCCGTCAGATTGTTTCAAACAAGTTGCTTGGCGCAATCCATCCACTCTCGGTGCAGCCAATGCCTTCGTAAGTATGTCCGTAGGCGTACTTCCAGTCTCGAGATATGGGCTGTATCATTCCACACATATTGAAAAAATTCACGAACAAGTTTGATGCACACGTCATCTTATTTGGCCTCAGCTGATGCTACCTCACTGTTAAGGCACTTGAAGCGTTAGCTTATCGACTCGCAGTGCACCGGCTTGTATCCACCTTGCACGAAATGTCGTCGTTATGTCGGGCATCTCAAGCCCTGCCATTCGGTGGAAATCACAAAGAACCTTATCCACTATCCTATGCTTATTTGTAAGCCGACATTCCGTGACGACGACTGGAACTAAGTCTCGCTAGAGCGCATACATACTCGATCTGTTGGGGAGATTCGAATGCAGTAATAACGGGTTACCGAAGCCGCTCAGCCATTTCCCGCTGCTCACGCCTAGTTCGTAAAGATCCCCCAGAGTTCTCGAGCCAAAGTTGATGCAGCTGGAAACTCATTACATGATCCGACTGTTTGCTTCTTTCACGTCCATATCACTCATTTGTCATCAACATCGATTGAACCTCCGTGACGGATCTTCTATCGTACTTTTTGCCAACAGCGAAAGCTGCATTGCTGTATCCAATCGCTTGCAAAACGTCTATCATATTTTCCAAGCATAGAGAGACGCAATGTCTTCAAGCCGGACAGGCATCTGGTAATTTGTTAGCCAGCGCATATTATTTCATGGTGGGACTAATGGTTTCTTCTCGACGCCTTATGTAGCGGAGATACACGGCTCCTTAAGTCAAAGGAAGACTTAACGCTCAACGAGCAACTTTGATTCAGAGAGACCCGACTCAGAGAGCCAACAAGCTCAAAGAGCTTACGGTCCCTAATTAAGGGGACCAAGCGATTTAGAGAATCACAGCGTAGAATGATCATGAGTAGCTACCTTTACAGGTGTTGTTAAGCTTTTACCGATCAAAGACGCCTTGTGATGCACGCGTCTTAGGTAATCAACATGGGAACTAAACTTTATTTTCTTTATCTAAAAGAATACCTCATAACAACGTATTTAACCTAGTCACTAATGTTCGAATCAATACCTCCTAAAAGATCGCTTAATTTGGTGGCTAACACACGTCAGCCCCCGACAATGGATATGGTGTTCGGATATCATTTTCAATGGGACCCCGTCCTTTGTGTACCACACATGTTATGTCACCCGTTACACAAACATGTTGTGTAACCCCGTTACACCCCCCCACCAGACCGACGTTACCACGAAACGTCAATCAAATTCTGTCCTCGAAGAGGTCGGTGTGTGTGTGCTAGAACCTAACGGTTTGCTAAAACACGAAACACCATGGCATCGCCACCTAACGAGTCTCGGACTCTTTTCTCCTACCTCGACTTCGATGAGGATGTGGATTATGGTAGCGATACCAATGTCCATGGGTATGTCATGACAGCGTCCAACCCCACTTTGCCTGAGATTCGATCTATCACAGAACCAAATCCGTTCATCAAACGTGGTGAAATAACCGTGCCAAAGGCGCAGCATCATGCTAAAGATGCCGGTGAACACATCATCACCAACCCGCTTGAAGAGTAACAAGAATGATTGTCCAGCGTGAGGATAGTGCTCTTCGTCGCGCTAAGACCAAGAGGGTCCTTCAAAACC